AGCGGCCCACGTTCTTCAGCCACTGCCTCTCCCCCATTTCCAGGGTCTCTGTTTTTTCACTGAACACCCCATTCTCAAGCAAGGAGGAGCCCCTCCGTAGAACTGCTGGGGGCATTAGGAGAGACCAAGAAGTTGCAAATTTAAGGCTACACCTACAGGGCAGGTCTGTTAGGGGACAGACACGTTGGCAGCAGAAAGTGCTTCCTATAGTCTAATCTCAGTTCCCTCATTCTTTTCCTGCTTCAGCTCTGCCCAGTCGTTTCCCTACCCTTGTACTTCATGCTTAGGTCACTTTGAACTCCCACAGTTCCTCACATAAACAAAGCTATGCTTGTACTCACCTCAAGGCCTTGGCACGTGGTATTCCTTCTTTCTGGAGCTGGCCCTCAGTTCTGCCTGGAGAAGTGACTCCTCCTTCTAAGGTCAGCCCCAAAGCCCCTCCTCTTAAATGCCTACCCCTGACACTGGCAGAGATAGGAAAGACCATGGCTTCTCTCCACGTAGTCACTGGCTCTGTCCTTCTCCCCACAGAGCTGCCTTGTTTGGTTGGGCAGCAACCCAGTGAATGGCTGCCGAGTGAACCAAGGAATTAATGGATTCTGATCCCCCTCCCCTGTTTTTCTGAGCCCCTCCAGGACCCCCTCTCCCTGGTGATGTCACTCACTTACAGGAGGGGAAGGGATGGAGCACCTCTGCCTCCAACTTCCCCTTCTGTCCTGGGAGACTTCCCCTCATGCCCACAGCCCACTCCATAAGCCGGGAGATCGCACAGCCCCTCTGTGCAACAGGAAGTTCTTCGATGATCTATGTTCATTCCCGTTTCTGGCCATGCCTGCTTCTTTATTATTTTTGGAGAAGGGTCAAGGACTATCCCATCTCAGTTTTACCATCTGCTCATCTCTCTCTTCCCAGGATGTATTCATACCACTCCTGAACCATTATGTCCCAGCCTGGCCCTGCTTAGGAGGAAGGACAGTGACCAGGATAGAGAAATGACAGAAGGCCAGGCGGGTAGCCAGGCCCTGTAGAGGAGCCCAGGATAGATATAACCACGACAGGGGAAGGGCTGCCCAAGAGGGAAGGGATGAGCATCCTGGCCCTGGGGGTATGCAAGCTGTGCTAGATAGATCTGCAGGCAAGCTGCAGAAAGGGATGAACAACTGCTAGAAGGCCGCCCCACTCAGAGGCTGCACCAGGACTGGGTTCCCAGCCCGGTGCTGTGAGTAGGAAAGCACAAGGAGGTGACTCCTGCCCTTGAGGAACTCCGTGGCTGGCCAGGTAAGGAGCTCACACACACGGGAAGGCCGAGTCTGGGCTGCATTTTTGACCCGCATTTTTTACCCTGTAGTATCAGGAAAAAAGACTTCAGGGTGAGTCATGGGGTCAGAGGGATAGGGAACCAAGGAGGGCTTCCCAGGGGAGAATTCCTATTCAAATCTTTTCCTCAGCTCCCAAATCCAACAAGGGAAATTCCAAGTCCCTTCGCCTGGCACTTGAGACCCTACAGCATCTGGTCCCTTCTGCACTCTCTTACTCTTCTCAATGCCCTTCTCACTTCTGCCAACCCAAACTCTTTCTGTCCCTTGAACCTGCCACGCTTTCTCACATCTGTCCACCTTTACATGCTGTTCAATCTGCTCTTCCCTTCCCTGGCAATTCCTAGCCTTCCTTCAAGATCCAGTTCGAAGGTCTCTTCTTCTGAAGCCCTGGCTTGGTGTGGCCACCACAGTTCCTGGGGCTTCCCTCTACAAGCACTGTTTACACTGCAGGGCTGTAGCTTTCCACTTCTGCCTCCCTATCAGACTGGGCACTCCCTGAGAGCAGGGTCTGGGTTGGTGTCTCTCTGTGTCCCCAGTGACCAGCTCAGCGGTCACTAAGCAGGTACTGGGGAGTCTCTGTTGAATAAATGACTGAATAAATGAATGGATGCATGTAGGAATGGAAGTGTGCTGAGAGGGTAGGCTGTATAGGCCAGCAGCAAGGGCCTGAGGAGTACTGGCCTGACCTGAGAGCAGCACAGCTGAGGGTGAGACTCCCAGTCCATTAAGGCTGAAGGGGGTACTGCCAGGAGTTCTGCCTCCTCCATTTGGCTAGATCCCAGCCAAGCCATCAGTAGTCCCTGGAGACAGGAGGCTGGAGTGGGAAGCAGGAAGAGTGGCAGGAGCTGCTTGAGGGGCAGGGGGATCTGGGGGGTGCGGGCAGCATAAAGGTAATTAACCCTCACTGAGCCGACTCAGCTTAGGCAATCAAGAAGTCTCACGTGGGGCCTGAAGGAGGGGACTGAGGCTTTAGTCTGATGAAGGGCTTCAGCTCCAGACTTGGAACCAGAGGAGGGTGACAAAGCCACAGCCTCAGTTTCCCTGTCTGGGAAGAGATGGCTCTGTGATCTCTGACCCTCTGCACCCTGGCTAGAAATCCTGCAGGGGTCTCTCTACTACCTTACTTTCCTGAGACTTCCAAGGGTTTCTCCTTCCCAACATCCTGATCTCTGAGATCCCACCACTGCACCCCATATCCCAGTCCAAGCCTGAGCCACCTCGATGCTCCCATCCTCATCCTCTTCCCAAAAGCTTCAACCTCTCCCTTCAGAAAGCCCCTGGTCTTATACGTGGATTCTAAGGAATGGAATGGATGGGAGAAGTGGATGGAGATAGTCTCAGAGACACAGAGGAAGAACCGAGGGTTGCTAGTCGGGAGGGGGTGGGGATGAAGGAGAAGGGGAAGGGATGAGACAATACAA